CCCAGCAGCCCCCCGCCTAACTCGGGGTGCTGGCACGGCACAGCAGCCTCCGGGGAGCTGAGACCCCTCACCATCTCAAACACGGCGTACTCGGCGCTGTAGCTCTCTCCGGGAACCACGCCGGCGCCACCCACCAAGCCAGCCGCCAGATTATCGATGATGTTCCCATAGAGGTTCGGCATGACCAGGACGTCGAACTGGTAGGGGTTCTGCACCAGCTGCACGGAGGGAACGGGAGGACGTGAGGCCCTGCACACCCAACATGGGCTGCAGGCAGCTTGACAGCCCTCGGGCAGGGTACTTGAATCCGATGGAGCAGCAGAACCCACTGTGTCCGAAAACATCCCCCAACTGTGCTCAAGTGACAGCCTGGAGCACGAGGAGCCCTGCTGAAACAGCTCGGGAGCCACAGACCTACATCAGCTGGCAGAGTTCTGCAAGCCCGGATGAGACACAGTTGCACCAGGGGAGGTTTAGATTGGATATTAAGAATAATTTCTTCACCGAAAGGGTTGTCAGGCCTTGGAACAGGCTGCCCAGGGAAGGGGTTGAGCCAGCATCCCTGGGGGTATTTAAAAGACGTGCAGATGCGGCGCGTAGGGACATGGTTTAGTGGTGGACTTGGCAGCGTTAGGTTAACGGTTGGACTGGATGGTCTTAAAGGTCTTTTCCAACCTAAATAATTCTGTGATTCTAAATGCCCCTGCCACCTTCAACCCCTGCAGCTCCTGCCCTCCCTGCAAAGCAGGGAGAAGGCTCCCGTCTTGTGCAAGGAGCAAACCTCGGCCCAGGGCAGCCACCTGGACCTGCCAAGCTGTCAAGGCAGCAGCTCTTCAGGTTTCAGATCTTTACGGCTCGGCTCAGCAGGCCCAGCAGCAGCAGGCGGCGCAGAGCAGCTCTGGGGCAGGGAAACGGGATCCTCACCTGCATGCAGCAGTTGTCAATGATCATGGTGTCAAATTTGATCTTGGGGTACAGTTCTGCCACTTCTTCACAGCACTGCAGGAAGAGCCCATCGCCTAATTTCCTGTGAGACAAGAAACACATCAAAGGGTGTGCAGGACAGCAGTGAAATCATTACAGCAGCAAGTAATCCAATAGCAACTGGCGTCCTAGCACAGCAGGGCAGGGGAAAGCAGGCAACCCTACAGCACCCCGCACCACTGCACAGCCACAGGCGATGAAATCGGGGCCCAGGGGGAACAAGGGATCTGCTTTCAACGCCAGAGCTTTTCCCCTTCTCTGCTGACAGCCTCCAGGATGCAGCCGTTGGGCCTCATGCTGGAGACGAGACCATATGGAGAGGAAAAACCGCTATTCCCAGGGAAAGCCCAGCCTCTCTGGAACCAGGCTGGCACTGCTCTGATCGTGACAGCAACAAGGTCCCAGACGTGACAGCAGTCGCGTGTCCGACAACCGGACAGCGCTCCGAACCTGCTCCTGCGGCACTCACATGATGTTGGCTTTGTGCACAGCCGTGACCTTAGAGCGCCCTTTTTTGGTGGCGTAGTCAAAGGCGAACTTGGCAATGCGCTGCGACTTGGCCCGGGTGATGATCTTCAGGCACTCGATGACTCCCTTTGCGCTCTGGACAGGAAAGGGAGCGTGAGCAGCCGTCGCATGCGCCACGCAGCCCGGCACCCTGCCTCACCAACCCACGCCACGCCGACAGTCCCGGCACTTTGAGACGGAGATGCCCGACGCTGGATCACCCCCATCAAGAGGTTCCCTAATACCCACGTCCCTTTTTTCTGGCGCTATCCCTCCTGCAGCCCACCCCTGTCCTTGCTGGGTCTGCGTGTATTCACATCCCTAAATACTCTCCTAATTCCGTCGCTGTCACTCAGCACCCACGCGCTGGAGGGCGGCTCCCGTACCTCATGTTCCAGTGAGCTGTACTCCCCCTCCGTCTGCTCACGAATGATCACGAGGTCCAGGTTGTTGTGGCGTGTTTTATAGCCTGGTAAGCTCTTCACGTGGACAACATTCGCAAACAAGTCTAATTTGCGCCTGCAAGAGAAGCGGCAGCAGAGACAGCATTTCATTGTAAGCTATTTCTGGGGCAGCGACTGTGCCCTACAAGTACTGGGGGTGACTGCTGGGGATGGTGCAAACAGCTCCCCACCTCCTACGAGGCCTTCCCATTGCTATCTGTCTGTCTGTCTGTCTACAACCTATCCATTCACCCTTCCCCTCATGGATCATGAGCCAGCCACGCCTCATCGCAGCATGGCTTCAGCGACCCTCTGTCGAGGCAGGCCACCACTGTCTGCTTTCCAGCCACCCACCCGCTCCTCCCCAGGACCCCCAAGGAAGCAGGCAGCGGGATCGCACTCAGCAGAGGCAGCTCCTGGCCACAGTCAGTCCCTCAGGATCTTTTGCTTCCCGGTAACACATTAATTTCCCATCTGCCCTGCACTCGCTTCCTTCAGCCCCTGGTCTGGTGGCAGAACACCATGACCAAGCACAATACGGTTTTCCCAGTGACAGACGTGTCGGTGCCCAGCCCTGGCAGCCAAGCAGGGGACCGGGCTCACCTGAGCCTCATGTCGTAAGAAGCCAGCTCTCCCTTGTACTCCATGGGGGTGTGGATCTTGCCTGCGGGACAACATTGAGCAGGAGTAAGAACACAGAGCATGCTGACAGCTGCTAAGGACATCGCCTGAACCCAGGTGACAGGGCAGCAAGGGCTGGGACAGCGGGTGCTTCACGAGAACCTCAGCCAAGCGTGGAGACTGATCTCTCGCTCTACGGGACCCTGACAAGGCCCTTTGCTTCTCTGGGCTGTACTAGGAGATCTCGTTTCAAAAGCACAGGCCGGATATAACCTCCCCTTTGGCAAGTTCAAAAAACGTGTAGCCGTGGCACTTGGGGACGTGGTTTAGTGGGCATGGGGGTGTTGGATTGATGGTTGGGCTGATGATCTTAGAGATCCTGTCCAACCTTAATGATTCCTAGTTTTACTTCATTAAAAATAATCCAGCCACCAAGCCAGGACACATTAAATTAATTATTACTTTACCCTTAATTGGTTTAGTGATGGACTTGGTAGTGTTAGGTGAATGGTTGGACTGGATGATCTTAAAGGTCTTTTCCAACCTCAACGATTCGATGATTCTATGAAGTTAGTACTTCATAGTAATAATACTTACTGAAGAAAGTACTTCAGTAATTTGCTCCTTAGCTCAAAGACAGCACGCTTCCTTCTCCAGGCCCTAACCACAGAAATTCCTGCCCTCTGAAGGCACCTAATGGCGTTTGAGATAAGGCAACATTTCCTGCAGGCAGAGCAGAGAGCCCCTCCTTGCTAGCACAAGTCCTTACCTATAAGGGCGACTTTACTTTCCTTCATGGAGTCAACCACCTGATCCAGTTTTTCTTCCGACGCCATGTTCTGCACCTCACTCAGGTGATGCTCATCAAAGACCACAGGCACGCTGGCGGCCTGCGCGAGAGATGCAGACAGAGCCGCCGCCCCGTCAGATCAGGGGCTCGGCAGGGAAGCTACGCTACACGTTACCGAGGGCTGCTGCCGGGGGGCTCGGAGAGCTGGGACACGACGCCTGAAACCAGCCAGACTGTCTGCTCAGTGAGAAGAGGGAACCTGCACCTCTGGGTCACCTCAGTTCCAACTGAACAACGGTATTTTCTGTCACCTTTAACACCAGGACTGCCCTTCCTTACGTAATTATAGTTTCAGCTGCGTAACCGGGACAGCCCCACGTTTGCTGCCTTTGATGTGACAGAACTTGTGTGTTAGAAGACAGAACTATTAACTACTGGCTTCCTCCCCAAGTTCTGACATTGCTGCCCGAGAGCGGGGCTCATCGCAGGTAAGGAAGGAGGTCAGAAGGACATAAAGGCTTCTGGACAGCTGGACAATGACAGCCCTGCGGCCACGTTCCCGACAGGAGCAGTGAGGACAGCCCGTGTCCTCCCCGTCACCAGCCCGGGCAGCGTCAGTGCTTGCTGCTGCCTCAGCAGAGGGAGAAGGAGCGGGCGATGGACCCAGACTCTGCCGGCTCCAGGGCACGGTCCCAGGCTGGGAATGTTTTCACACTGAAGAATGAGACAGTTTGCAAGACTGCTGCTCAAACTGGACTTGTTTACAGAAACGGTGAGAACCCAGGGTTTTCACAACCAGCTCTCTTCTGCACCAGGGGAGAGAGACAGGTTGGTCCTGGAGGGTCTCTGGATCAGCAGCATCTTTAACCAACTCTGCAGCTGCTGCTGCTCCTCTCTTCTCCATCCATCCCGTCCCCCCGAGGGGCAGGGGCCAGTACCTTGAACACCTCCTTGACGGCGTGCATGAGCTCTGGGCCCACCCCATCTCCGGGCAGCATGGTGACCTGGAACGTGCCCTCAGACTTCGCATTTTCTGACTGCGCAGAAAGCAAAGAACGGTCAGACCTTCTGCTGCACCCCAGAGCCTAATCCAAACAGGACCCCTAACCTGCGAGCAGCGAACTAGAGGAAGGTTACTTACAACGCGAAGCATATCCGCACCCATAGCGTAGTTTTTAGTAACGAAAATTTACCGCAGTACTAACAGCGAGCTTTAACTTAAAGAGCTCCTGCGTTGTTACGAACACACCATGCAGCAGAGACACCCGATATCCTGGGATCCACTGGCAACTGAAGACCCCTTCCTGAAACAGCATTTCCAGGTATGATCCCTCCCTCTGTACAGCAGAAATCCTTATGGGGAGCTAAGAGCACAATCTCACATTATTAAATTCTCCCTCACTTCTACCTCATGTCCTCAGGACCTCTTAAACCTTCCTGTGCAACAGTCTCATCTTCCTGTTGCATTCACATTATCTCGCAGCTTTTTGCTAAGCATGCCTTTTTTTTGGTCCTGAAGACAAAATCAGTCTCAAAGACAATTCTCGAGACCTGCCACAGGCGATCCACCTCCAAATCAACGCTGCCTGCTTCCCCGCTGTAGCTGCCTCCTATTTGCACGCAGTCCTTTTACTAATCCCCATCTGCTTTAGCAATAATTCCCTGCACAGAGCTGACCTCCAGGCACGAGATTTCACAGAACCAGCCTCAGGGACTAGACAGTCGCAGTCAGAGACAAGAACTGCACCCAACAATTTAATCGGAAAACAAAAAGAGTACACAAGCAGCAACGCCATATGACGTGAGAAATGCACGTCACGAAGCGTAGGCAAACGCTGATCACGGAAAGGCAAAATGAAAGAGCAAGTGGGAAAAGAAAGATGAGATAGCCTTTACTTTTGATTTTTAACATCTTGGAATCAAGTTCCAGGGCACAAAACCTCACCTACCTAAATTTCAAGCAGCAGCAAAGCATCTGCAGAGGGAACTGTGGCACGGGCCCCGGCTCAAGGTCAAAAGAACAGCCTCAGTGCTGAGCCCTCCCCTTTAGCGTCTTGAATAATAACAAGACACCTTCGCTTATAAAGGGGAACACGCCACCCTTGTCGGTCTGAACATGACAAACACAACGTTAATTCGCTACCTGGCACTTGGGTTGCTTCTTTCACCCTTAGTTCCACAGAAAACAACTCATCTCTCCACCGCAACTCGCATTTCCTGACCACAGAGTCTGAGTAACACTTGTATGTGCTAAGCTACCACTCGCTCTTACCTTACTCAATTTCTAATAATCATCGCACGTTATTTCCTGTATTATTTTCTGTTAACTACTATGGGTAGCTACAGTAAATTTAGGATTAAACGGCAAGGACTGGATCAAAAGGATTTTCGCTACTGCAATCAATAGTGCACGCTAGCTAGCGGTTTTAGCTGTACCAGCAGAAAAACACTCGCCATCGCAACCCTGCCAGCGACCGTCTGCGCACAGGTGAGGCTGAGCTGTGAGCCAGAGCGGAGAGGAATCTCCATGGAAGGAGGGAGTGAGGCTGGAGAACACACTGCTCTGAGAGCCAGAAAAACTGCTTGCACCAAGCGGAGCCTGCCCGGGAGCGTTTCCACCGCCCAGGGACCACCACTGCCCGCCCCTTGCTCTCCCCCGTT